CAACAAAAGTTATCAGTGCACTCTTTCTTGATTCAAGAGTACAACATTTGATTTTAATGTATCGCACGTTTATATACAGGTTCGGAAAGTCCCCATAGTTCATCGGCCGTTACGTGAGAGCGATACAGTAAGTCATCTTTGTTTTCGTGGTTTGCCTTTTCTTTAATAGTCACTACTTATACAATTCCGACTCCCGTATTCCGATATGTTAATACAATCGACACGGTAGATAGCCGCACGGTTTAAGGCGTCAGTACTTAAATCGATGTGTCGATCTGCCCGGGTTTCGAATCCCGCGGCCGGTAGACCGTAGATTAGCTATGCTTGTACGGAGGATTGGCACCCTCTGTGCAAGTATGGTAGGGTGGAAGAATGTTGGCTTGGGTCAATGTGAGAGATTGACACATTGATTGGCATTTGACCACCCCTCTAATTAATGAGGTTTTCCGGGTTTCCCTCATTCCTGCACTGAATGGTGGTTAGGGCCTACCAACATAAGTCGTTCCTGGGCGCAAATGCGGCCTGCGTAATAATAATATGCCGCCTCCTCTCCCGCACAAGTCTCCGACTTCTGGGCTAATTCTCGTAGTTAGAATGAGGAGTAGAGATATTATTATTATAATCCATTAACAGAGGGCAGCATGAAGTTTCCCGCCACAAAGTGTAGGATACGTTTCATATACAGAGTGTCTAGGCTTTACAGCTCCAGTAATTGCCCTTATTGGGTAACTATTTCTGACGCGAGACAAATTTTTTGAAAAATGCACTACTTTTTCGAGAGCTGTAACCCCTAAAATTGAAAACGCCCTGTATAAAACCCACTGGATGTGTCGCGATAGCCATTAAATTAAAAATATAGTACATTAATGTTCTTGCTGCCATAATTTGGACAAGTTTTTTTACTGTCGTTTTTGGGCCTTTAAAATTGATGAATTATTTCTATTATTAAAGCACCGGACCTCGGGTAAGTAAGGGCGGCTTTACTATTTCCAAGGTTTAAATAAAAGAGGGGATTCCAACCCAAACAAAGAAAAGTTTACGGCGACATAAAAGAAAGCAATGGAGCCCGATACGTTAGCGTGTAGTGAAGGAAGTTAGCGCAAATGTATTATAAGCCATCTGAACTCAAAAAACGGACACAGTGTAACCCGTACTATAGTAAATCTATAGAAAAATATGTCGAGAGGGAACGTGCGAGAAATGTTAATAGCCCGATGTTCTTTTCGGGGCGTATATTGGAAATTTGAAAATATAGAATTTAATTCTAGGTCCACGATGTGTGTAACAGGTGGTTCAAATTACCATGGTTTACAAGTAACACTCCAAATAGCCGGGAATATTGATAATTCAGCGATATCGACATGGAATACTGAGTGCAGTGAATAAAGAAACCCGAACTCGCTGCCTTCTTTAAGGACAGCGTGGATTATTTTTGTCTGAGGGTCGACAGATCGCTTTTACTGTTGTGTCACCACTCCCCCCAAAAAGTCTCTGTTTCTCACAAATAGTATTACCGAGAATTTATTTTTTAACATCCGTTATTTATTTGGGGTTGATCTACGGTGGGAAAATTTAATTTAAATCTCATTCTCTCGAGTTAAAATTGAACTGTGAGATCGATAGTATCGATTAAAATCATGATCAATGCTTCTACAGGGTATTAGAAGATTGACTGCCTTCATTTTAGCAGACGATAGAATATATTAAAATAAACAAACATGGGACATCTCAACCATTTCCGAGAAAAAATTATCAAAATCCAACTTGATGTACAAAAGTTCGATTAATTAAGGAATATTGACAGTTGGTATCTGGAATTGGACAGTGTTTGAGTGTTTTTTGAGTACCACTATTTCCTTTTCTTGAGGTGTTTTCAAGTGCGCGAAAATTGGATTCGAAGGTGTCGTGCGTACATCGAAAATGGTGGTGGACATTTCGAGCATATTATGTTGTAGTCTGCTTTGTATTGAATTTTGCTTTTTGGTAAGTACCTAAATTATTTTTAAAACGGATGATTATTTGGACGACGTGAATCTTTGGGTAGTATAATTACATATAAATTACAAAAGGGTTGCGCATTCTTGTGCCAAATACAGTTGTTTTTTCATTTTTTGACAAAATCAAATTTTCTTGGTAGTTATAACTATTTAAATTTTAATTTAATTTAATTTTAATTTTCAGAAAAATGAAAATTTTGAGAAAAATAAAAAAATTGCTCTTCGAGATCTCAGGACAGATCTCTTTATTTCGAAAGTTTCTTATAAAATTTTTACATCATGGCGGCCTAGAAGTCATCCCCTAAATAATTTCATAAACAGTAATTTCTGGGAAGAAATGTTCTATGATAATATATTAAATATTGTACTTGTTTTTGTTGGTGTAAAAAAAAGAATACATCTCCTCTTTTTCTTTTAATTTAAAATCTCTATATTTTTTCAAAAACTATTGGCATAAACCCAACTTGAAGACATGCACAATAGCAATATAAGTATTGTCTGCTTCAGTTCAGTCACATATCAGACAAAAAGTCAAAGGGGGTCCTGGATAAATTTACAGTGCAATACAAGTACCATCATATAGTCTCCGTGCAATGTTAAATCTGACCCATTCTATACAGGGTGTTTATTCGAAAACTGCCCCACCTTTTACTTCGTTATTATCCCAGAGATGCAAAAACTGCAACAATCTTTCTAATAGTATAAAGATCTACAGGGTATACCGTTAATGACACCTATAGTTAGGCTCAAAATCTCAGAAAAGAGATATTCAACTGTTTTTATGGTACGTGTCAACAGATTTTGAAAAGTCGCTACAAGTTTAATTCTTAACGTTTTTTCGTATCTCGAATATTAACTGAGAAAAAAGGGGGCAATTTTTACGTGATACATACAGGGTGTCCCTTTATACTTAAAAAAAAACTGAGGAGTGAGTTCCTCTTGGTAAATATCGGGTGCGTTCGTTATAAAGTTTTTCACATTAATGTTGTATTTTCAGGATGTAGGGTGATAAATTTGGTTAAATAATTTTGGGGGGCTTTAGTTACTAAAACATAACTTCATTAAAATTCGTGAGCTCTTAGATAAAAGGCCGTAATTGTTGTCTTAATGTGGGCTGTAGGATTTGAATATTGAATTCAGCAGCAATTTTTCTTCAACGGTATTTAAAATAGCTTCTTCCACATCTACAATCCTTATAGACCGTGGGGGAGCGTGTTATCTGGTACGAGTTAAAAAGTATTCTTTTTCTCGAAAACTTCTGTCAATTGCAACAAGGAATCATTTCGAGTTTTAACTTTAACATCGAGACACTCTCTTTCGAGACTTCAAACCGACTTGAGTAGTCGGTGGTTGGAAATTTCATAGCGCCATAACCCCTCGTAGCTTCATAACCCTGTAACCCCATAACCCGGGACGCGCGAGTCTGTAGAACCATGAAACTCTGTGAGAACACGGATATCATATCACAGGGGTCCGAAACTACATGAGTGAGCTAACAGGTTTCCACAACCCAACAACCCCGTAACCCCATAACTCCGCGTGTGCGAAGCTGTACAACAACGAAGCTCTGAAAACTATGAAAAACTCAATAATCCTTCCTTGACTGTAAATTTTTGCGAAAAAATTCGTTGAAATAACAGGTTACGGGGTTATGGGGTTGCGGGGTTATGTTATGGGGTTATGGTTTAATAAAATCATGAATTCCAATGTTTATTTAATCAGTAACCGTTCTAGTCGGTATTAAATTTCGAAAACCGTTTTCTAGAGGATTCTCTTGATTTTTACTCTAAATTTGAATTCAGCGGGTCAAGATGCTAGGGTGTTTTTTCCAGTGTAAATCAAAAAGAAAACAAACGTATTAATGGATTAAGGAGTTACAATAGGACTAACATTTAAATTCATGATCTCATAGCACCATAACTCCATAACCTCGTAGCTTCATAACCCCGTAACCCCATAACACGGGACGCGCGATATTGTAGAACCATGAAACTCTGTGGGAACACGGATCATATCACAGGGGTCTGAAACAACATGAGTGAGTTATCAGACTTCCACAACCCAACAACCCCGTAACCCTATAACCCTGAGTGTGAGAAGATGTACAACAACGGAACTCTTAGAACTCTGAAAAACTCAATAATCCTTCCTTGACTGTAAATATTTGAGATAAAATTCGTTGAAATAACAGGTTACGGGGTTATGGGGTTGCGGGGTTATAATGGTATGGGGTTAAGGAGCAATAAAATCATGAATTTCAATGTTTTTTAAATCATCAAACACTTATGTCGATTTTAAATTTCGAAAACCGTTTTCTAGAGGAGTCCCCTTGTTTTTTACTCTAAATTCGAATTCAGCGGGTCAAGACACTATGGTGTTTTTTCGAATCGAAAAGAAAACAAACGTGTTAATGGATTAGTGAGTTACAACAGGACTAGACTCAATCCCTGAGTTTCGAAGTTATACATTCTCACAAACCTAGGGTTGCGGGGTTACGGGGTTGTGGGGTTACGGGGTTGTGGGGTTAGGAAAGCGTGCCAATTCAGTCATGTAGTATCAGACCTCTGATGTATGAGATTCATGTTCCCATAAAGTTTAATGGTTCTACAATCTCGTACACCCCGTTATAGGGTTACTGGGTTTTCTAATCACTGACTGCTAGTCAGTTTGAAATCTTGAAAACCGCTGTCTAGAGGAGTTTCAAAGCACGAACTGATCCAGGAATTTTATCTTTAGCCGATTTCAAGATGATTAAAGAAATGTTAAAGATAAAAGCATTATATGAACTTCCCCCAATATTTTTCCAAAATGAACTCACACCCTTGTTTTCAATAAAGTATAAACGGGATACCCTGTATGTTCTATCCGATTTTTAATATATTTTTCCGTGTACGAGCAAAAATAAATGAAAACGAATTCTACAGTGATACAGATGTCTGACCCATGATATGCGTGCGGAAAACGTGCTGGTGCAATAAGCCTTTTCGTGGTTGTGATCTATACCTGAGCTTTGGGGGCCTGGAGGGGTGTAATGTCCCAGACCGGAATCAACGGCTGGGCCGGCTTGAACGGCGTCCTTCTCGGAAGAGGATACCATAACTACTTTGGGTCTCTCGTCCTGATTTATACTTCTGCTGATGTTGCGCTTTCCGTTGTCTGCAATGAGAACCACCCGTCAACACCCCTTGCCACACTTTTCACATAATAAATTATACCATAATCTGTTTTTAACTCACACTCAATTATGCTATTACGAATCTCCTGCAGTCCTGCCGCAATTATTCATCGTCCTACTGTTGCAGGACTCGCGGGTTAATAGAGATATTAATTATTTTGGTTATTAACGGTTGTTTTTTTAAAGCAAAACATGCGTATACAACATTTAACACGTACCTAGTTCGACATTTAGTTTTATGTAAAAAAGAGATAAAGTACATTAATAAAAAATTAAGAGTATGGCTGCCCAAGCAGCTGATTAAAATAGGTCTACCCTGAACTGTATTTCAAGAATTTACGGATGTTTTGAATTGACACACGAAATTATACTTCGATGTATCGTTTCTATAATTATAAAATTAAGCTTGCTATAAACATAATTACAATAATATACAGTTAATACATTCCTATACATTACAAAGAGTTTTAAATTTAATTTAGTTTCACTATCAGTATCATCGCCAAATACTATTACACGTTAGTAAAGTACAGGGTGTCTCAAACTTGATAGTAAGGGCCTACTGTGAGGATACAAACAATTTAAATAAAATTTGGGACACGTATGTTAAATGGGATAAGTAAGCTCCATTTTCAATCAAAAGTTTTCAGCGAGTCCGAAAACGTATATTTGGCCGTTTTTATAAAGCTTTTGGGCACTTTCATGTTTTTGTAATTATTCCTACAGAGTATACATAAACTATAATATAGCTCAAGAAAATTAAGACAAAATTTTTTTTTAGTTAAAGTAAATCTGACAAAACCTGCTTTTTCAGCGAGTCCGAAAACGTATATTTGGCCGTTTTTATAAAGCTTTTGGGCACTTTCATGTTTTGGTAATTTTTCCTACAGAGTATACATAAATATAGCTCAAGAAAATTAAGACAAAATTTTTTTTTAGTTAAAGTAAATCTGACAAAACCTGCGTTTCAGCGAGTCCGAAAACGTATATTTGGCCGTTTTTATAAAGCTTTTGGGCACTTTCATGTTTTGGTAATTTTTCCTACAGAGTATACATAAACTATAATATAGCTCAAGAAAATTAAGACAAAATTTTTTTTTAGTTAAAGTAAATCTGACAAAACCTGCGTTTTCAGCGAGTCCGAAAACGTATATTTGGCCGTTTTTATAAAGCTTTTGGGCACTTTCATGTTTTGGTAATTTTTCCTACAGAGTATACATAAACTATAATATAGCTCAAGAAAATTAAGACAAAATTTTTTTTAGTTAAAGTAAATCTGATAAATCCAGCGTTTTCAGCGTGTCCGAAAACGTATATTTGGCCGTTTTTATAAAGCATTTGGACACTTTCATGTTTTGGTAATTTTTCCTACAGAGTATACATAAAGTATAATATAGCTCAAGAAAGTTAGGACCAAATTTTTTTTCAGTTAAAGTAAATCTGACAAAACCTGCGTTTTCAGCGAGTCCGAAAACGTATATTTGGCCGTTTTTATAAAGGTTTTGGGCACTTTCATATTTTGGTAATTTTTCCTACAGAATATACATAAACTACTATAGCACAATAAAATTAGGACAATTTTTTTTAGTTAAAGTAAATCTGACAAAACCTGCGTTTTCAGCGAGTCCGAAAACGTATATTTGGCCGTTTTTATAAAGCTTTTGGGCACTTTCATGTTTTGGTAATTTTTCCTACAGAGTATACATAAACTATAATATAGCTCAAGAAAATTAAGACAAAATTTTTTTTAGTTAAAGTAAATCTGATAAATCCAGCGTTTTCAGCGTGTCCGAAAACGTATATTTGGCCGTTTTTATAAAGCATTTGGACACTTTCATGTTTTGGTAATTTTTCCTACAGAGTATACATAAACTATAATATAGCTCAAGAAAGTTAGGACCAAATTTTTTTTCAGTTAAAGTAAATCTGACAAAACCTGCGTTTTCAGCGAGTCCGAAAACGTATATTTGGCCGTTTTTATAAAGGTTTTGGGCACTTTCATATTTTGGTAATTTTTCCTACAGAATATACATAAACTCCTATAGCACAATAAAATTAGGACAATTTTTTTTAGTTAAAGTAAATCTGACAAAACCTGCGTTTTCAGCGAGTCCGAAAACGTATATTTTATAGCCGTTTTTATAAAGCTTTTGGACACTTTCATGTTTTGGTAATTTTTCCTGCAGAGTATACATAAACTATAATATAGCTCAAGAAATTTTTTCTTCGTTAGAGTAAATCTGACAAAACCAGCGTTTTCAGCTAGTCCGAGAACGCATATTTGGCCGTTTTTATAAAGGTTTTGGGCACTTTTATGTTTTGGTAATTTTTCCTACAGAGTATATATACACTATAATTATAGCTCAAGAAAATTAGGACCAAATTTTTTTCAGTTAGAGTAAATCTGACAAAACCAGCGTTTTCAGCGTGTCCGAGAATGCATTTTTGGCCGTTTTTATAAAGGTTTTGGGCACTTTCATGTTTTGAAACATCCATAGCTTTTTGCAATAATAATACGCAATTTTGGAAAACTGAAATCTTCGCGTTCGACATTTATTTTACAATTAAAAAATTGATGAAATATGACTTTAGGTACCTTAAATTGTTGGTAATTTAATTGCTTACAACATAAAATTACCAATTTTCCGATAGGTCAACTAGATTTTCAAGGGCAGTAAAAAGTAGCGTTACTTCTTTTGAGTTACTTTTTTGATATTATCATTCTACATACCCTCCCCCGTCATAGAGTGCAATAAAATACCTACTAATAATTTTTTCACGTTCAAGCTCTAATTCGATTGGAGTACAATAAGTGCGGTATTTTCCAATTGACAAACTCCGACTATTTTATGTTTACCAATACCATCAGTACATTTCATAAAAGTTCGAATTTATTGGAGCTGCTGATGGATGCTTGAGAAAGTTTTTGTATAAAGTTAAACTCGTTGAGGATATTTATGCTGATAAATTCTACATGATTCCGCTGCATTACCGTCAGCGAAGCAGTATACAAAATGCGTTCTGAATATGTAAACTGAAGCATTATAAATAAATTATGTATCAGTTTATTAAGAAAGTTATGACTAGTTTTCCAGACAACAGAAAAATGAAAACTTTATTTATTTATTCAACAATAGACCGTCAACTTTGAGAGCCCATAACTCCGCTGTATATTAACGAATCGTGACGAATCTTTTTTCAAATTGAAGTTTTTTTTATGCTGTTACACGCAATAAAATACTAAAAAATATATAAATTAAGGGCCTATTTAATTTTGCAACTAAGGAAATTTCCCTTCGCTATAAAAAAGCATTTTTTTGACAAAAAAAAAACAATGGAACTCGATAGCTTTTTGTTAAATCTACCAATAAAAAACTGGAGCGTTTTCGGGTACCGCTCAGATTTTGTACAAATCGTTAATTAGTTAATTTATTTATAAGGCTTTTTTCTTAGTCAACTAACTTTTTTCTTCTTAGAGTTAACTATTACCGAAACGCACTCGACCACCCTGTATATTTACTATATGATGTCGATGTAATCTCGTGTTGACTTTGGCTTTGACTCCACGAACAGTATTAAGCAACCCTTGCCACACTTTTGATACAATCAATTAACACGATAATCTGTTTACAGTCAATTGTTCTGATATGAGTTTCGCAGTGCTGCAATGATTTATCGTTGTGCCGTTGCAGGAATTAATGAATGGGTATGTCCCCATTCCGCTGTATTCAACGGATCTAATTATGTTAATTATAAAACTGGTGTAATTCGGAGGCGAAATTTGTAAATTTAACGGAGGCTGATAATTTACATACATCGCAGATACAGAAATTAAGGGTTAGTATTAATAAAAACAATACAGTTAAGCCTGGTCCTGAACAATGTGCAGCTGTAAATGTTTCCGATGCAAACACAAAAACATATGCTCTTAAACAAAATGAAGCTTTAACGGCATGTTCTGCGTTTGCCCCCGAATAAAAGTTCAGGAAATATTATTCATTCGATTTAAAGGTAAAGCAACTGTAGGAACTTTTACAATTTTTCTTATAATTAGTGACATTCCTTTCACCTTTCATAATTTAGGATTCTGATTAAAATTTTAAAATCATTAAGTAGTAATCTAAAGGCAATAAAAAATTTCAGTATTCTCTCTTTGCTGCGGTTTCTGACATTTCTGCTGGTGTGCGTAATGTACTTTGCCAACATTGTACAATACGTGCATTTCTCACATCAGTGCGTAAGTAAACATTTTCCGCATTAAAAATAAAAAATGTAGCCATTGATTAAATCGACATATTTTTCAATACCTGAACGTTTTCCCGAATTAAAAATGTACTTTACGCACAGTTTACGCTACTGAAAGCATTCAACAGTATTTCAAGAAATTTAACTTGTAATAAATGCACAGTGGTTCTAATTAAAATACAAAGTTTGTTTTAAAGATAATTACGATAATACAAAATTAGTAAAAGTTATATGTAGAATAATGCATTCTTAAGTATTACAGTATTGTTTTAGTGTAAGAATCATAACTAATAGGGGTCATAAATATAACAGTTTATTGATTTAATTCATATTAATAATAAATCTTTCTGTAATATTCGTAATATGAATGTTCAAGAGTCTCCATATAACGGACTACTCCTTAATATGCGACACAGAGACACTAGCGCAATTTAAATTTCTGTTAAAAAAAATTAATATTATAATAACCATTTAGTTCATACTACTTCACACTCATTGTAGCGTAGATGATTCCAGATCTTGTTAATTTACAACAAAACAGTAAATTTGCTCAGAGCCAGTGGCGGAACATTTTATTTAATAACTTTTGGAACTCCTTAAAATGACACGCCCATGGAATCGTAATTATCGCGCTTGGAATCAGTTTTATTAAACTTTTATGGAGCTAACAATAAGGTGAGATGACAGACATTATTTCGCAGCGTATAAAGAAATCCTCGGAAGTATTGGACAATTT